GACCATCCCTGCTGTGCAGGCAAGGGAGCTAAAACAAAGAGCAGTAAAGGGATCACAGATTGGTCTGGGCAACTCCTGGCTCAGCTGTGACTGAGATGGGACACATTAAAAGTCCTGTAAGAAATCCCACCACAAAACTGCCCCCAGGGATGGGAGGTGATGGAGCCAAGCACTGTCACCTCTTTGCATGGACTCTGCAAAGCCAGATGTTCGGATCCAGCTTACTCAGGTGCTCCTTTGGCCACACATGGTGTCCAGCCAACAGGCAGGGAGAAAGCCAAGCCCTGAAAAACTTGGAGTGCTCAGGCCCTTGATGTAGGTGAGAAGCAATCAGTCCAAGAACACCCAAAACCTCTCCAGCACATTTTAATTAGCGGGTTTGAACCCCATGAGCCAATTCCTTCCACGTGGCTGACTGGCAGATGAAGGAACCAGAGAGATGGACAACCTGGGTGCAGGTACCACAGGGCAGCACTCGTCTCCCAGCTGGCCAAGCTCCAGCTGCTCTACAGAGAAGCTTTCCTTTGTTGCAGAGAAGCTTTTGAGATGCCAAGGGAGGAGGTAATTTTTGATGTGTCTTACTACTGCATGAGTAGGGGGTCTTCTAGCCTGTTCTTCCTGGAAGATGCTACCAAGAAGAAAAAGGGGCTGACAGAGGGCTGTGAAGTGAGGGGAGAGGCTGTTTCAGTCTGGAGAAGGCACAGCAGAGCTCACTTTGATTTCCCCTGTGTAACACAAATACCCTCGTAAGCAGGAAGGGGACTGGTAACGACACAAAAAACCCACACTCAAGAAACTCCCACAGCAGAGCGTCAGCAGGGGAAGCTTTAACCATCCCAACAGCCACAGCCACGCTCTCCCCCACCCACCCCAACCATTCTGCAGCCCCCTGCTCAAGGCACCTCCGAGAGAGCTCCCTCCTCCCAGCTGCAGGGGCTGCATCCTTGGTGGTGGGGCAGGGGGGGACCCACCAGTGCAGGAGTCACCCTGCACCCCTCGAGGAGTTGCTCCAAAGTTAGTTTATCCTTGAAAGCCATTTCTGGCTTGCTCGCTTCTCAAGAGCCCCAAGCCCCTCAGTTTAAGCAGATGGCCTCAGAAAAATATAAGTAAAAAAGAAAAAGCTGCGCCTTGGTGGACTAATGAAAGAGGCAGGTACTTGGAATGGCTGAGGCAGGTACGAGTCACACTTCACAGCCACTTTGCATTAATATTTTACAGCCTCTTTCTTTTCTTTTACACAAGCAAGGGCTTTTCTGCACCTCCACGGGACTGAGCTCATTTCACGGAAAGCAAGAATGCAACCAGGGTTTTTTTTGAGGTAGTTTTTTTTCCTCCTCTCTCTCCTCTATAAAACAAACATCTGCTCCAGATTTTCAGCTCGCTCTCTGAGCAAACTCTCTGAATTTTCTGACGTGTTTCAAGGCAAACAGATCAATTAGAAGCTGGCCTATAGCCCCCCAGCACATGAAGGTAAGAACACGAGACCCTTTTATATTAAAAAAAATAGTTAACACAGGAAACTAAAAAAAAATATAAACGCATAAAAGACAACTGACTAAAGGGATTAGCTCTACTTTGCTTTGGGTGATTAACAAAAAGAATAGAAAATTATTAGCACTCTTCCCATCACAGCAGACAGGCCCTCTGCAGAGTTGATTAGCAAGAAAGCAATGCATTGGTAATTAGAGCTGGCTAGAACCCTTTGGATAAAAACAAATATTAATTGAAAAAAATGCCCTTTTTTGGCACAAACGAAGACTGCATTTTTCAGTTTCAGTTTTGAAAAAGCACAGGGGAAGGAGGCGACCGCTTTCCAAAGGGAAAGGCTTCCCCCCTCCTCCCCAGCCCTCAGCTCGTGGAGAGCCCCAGCGCCCTGGAGCAGGATGAAGAGCTTAACGAAGAGCAGGCACGGGTCCTGTCCAAGAGAAGAGGCTCTTCATCGGGAGCCCAGCTGGCTGCGGGCCCCGCGCCGCCCCCACGGAGGGGAGATGTGGGGGACACACACGCCGACCATCCACACACAAAGGTCACTCTTTATGCAGCGCTCACAAAGCCCTACACAAGGGTCACAGAGCAGGGCACCACGACAGGGCTGTCACACCAGCACGGGCTCCCCCCTCCCGGCACCCCAGCACCTCCCAGCTCACGGGCAGCAGAGGCCGGGCAGGGTGGTGGCCAGCAAGGCTGGTTGGCTGCCTGACCATCTACAAGCACGTGTGGTGATGTCACCCAAGACCTTTAAGACCATCAAGTCCAACCATTTACCCAGCACTGCCAGGTCCACCACTAAACCATATCCCCAAGAGACACATCTACACAACCTCCTCCCCAGTCAGCATCCCCCAGGTCCAACCTCCCTGCTATTAGGAGATGATGATGCACATGAAGGGCTTTGTCCTTAAGTGCCAAAAGCTCCTTCCAGAGGATGGCTCAGACCCTGCTTGCTTCAATAAATAACTTGAAATAAAGGATGGCCCATCACCTCAGGGCAAAGCAGTGTGGCCAGTGGAGAGATGAGAAGTATTGACAGACCAGCACATGCAGATCCTGGGGTGATAACTGCTCTTGACATCTCCCACAGTGATGAGCCCTTCCAGGGCTGCAGCCAAAAGGGGCTGTGCTCTTCCCAATAGGGTCAGTCATGGAGCCAAGTCCCCCAGCACTGCCCACCCCAGACAAACACTCATCTGCTTTCTGCACGGCCCACCAGGTACAGAGAAAGGAGCACAGATCCTCTATGCTTGGTGTTCACAGAGACAGACACCTCTCCAGTACATGGCCCGTCACACAATGTGCCCCGAGTCCAAGACCTCTGTATGTGATACACTGTGGATACTCACTCATTCTGAAATGGATAAAAACCCAGGATCACTCCTACTTAGACAACTAACTTGTGTGCAGGGTGGTCTGAAGCTCCCTGGTGGTCTCCACGTCTCAAGAAACACATAAACATCTGTTACAGACCCATGAACATCACACACACAATTTTTGACCTGAAAACCCTCAGACTTTGTCCAGTAGAGATGCTGTTCCAAGGGGATGAGCCAGGAGGGGAATACATCAGTGTATCTGCCACATGAAGTGGAGTTGTCACACACCTGGCTTTTCCCAGGCATCCTTTTTCTGCCCAGAAAGCACATCCAGATAAAAATAGGGAAGCTGGCCAAGAACCTAGTATTGCTGGCCATCGATCCCATGGCTTTGCCTTGCCTGCCTAGATACACAGTCACTATTTGTGTACACAAGTTGATATTTCCACCTAGAGCTCCCACACTTCTGTCCAGGAAGTGTTAAAGCAAAGCTCTCCTCCTCAGCCCTGTGAGGAAAGACGGGCAAGGGGATGGGTGCTGCTCAGGGTGTTGGGTGATACCTGAAGAGGGGACTGAGGACAGGGTGAGATGCTCAGGTGCAGAGAGGAGGCCATGGAGAAAGCATCCAGCATCAGAGAGATGGGGCTGAAGGCATGGCAGCTCCTCAGGCTGATGTTGCCTGTCTCCAGTGTGGCCCACCTTCCCCCTCGAGAGGGTCACACACACTGTGGGAACACCACATGTGTTGGGAGGCACACAGAGGGAACCCAGAGCCCATGGGCACCATGTGGTCTGTAGACTCTGCAAGAAACTCCCCAGCACAAGCATCATTTGCTGTGCCTTAGTTTGCGAACACCTTAAGCCCAGGGTCAATAGACTGCCACTCTCTCCTCCCTCTCCCACTGCCTCACTGCTCCCAGAGGCCATTCTGGGAAAGGGATGGGGGAGCTTCACATCCTGGTGATGCTAAAGGAGCCCAAGGCTCCCTCCAGATCTGCCTGGAGACACCACTGGACAAAAGGTAGAGGACTCCGAGGGTCTAAGGGCAAACAAAAGCCCCAAACTGGAAGCACCAGCATTTTGTGGTCCTGCCACAGAGACGTGGCCATCATCTCCACATCCTTCCCTCACTGGAGTCCCTGGTATTAACAGCATCCCACCTTCCCACCCTGGGCCAGCAGCACTTGCCAGGAGAGACAACAGCCCCTCCTTGGCCTCGCTGTGCCCCAGTCACACCCTCAGCACAGGGAAGGCCAGCGCCAGCACTTACATCACGTCTCCTTCATTCACATCCCCTCTTCCTCACCTCCAGCACCAAACAGAGCCCTCGTCCTGTCCTTGCGCTAGTGCATGTGGGGGTGGGAAGGGCCGTTTAAAAGAAAGAGCAGTAACCTGGGAAACCAACACCGACGTTAAAAGTTTCCCAGTGTGGGGCACCGCTGCTCTCGCCCCCTTTCCCACCCATCTTTGTGGTTTGACACTCAGGTTTCTCACGCACCCTTTCCCGTGCCCTCCTCATTCCAGAGGTCCCCATCCTGCGCGGGAACCCGGAGGCACCGCGGGGCTGCCGTACCAGCACCCACTGCGAGGAGGGGGTGCGGGACCGGCCCCACGCTCAGCTCACCCCGTGCCATCACCCCCGCGCAGATGTGCGGCGGGGAACGCGGAAGAGGACGGAACTACAATATTTTGGGTTGGTTTTCCTACTTTTTGCCTTTTCCGTTCCATCTCATCTGTTGCTCCGAGGTGCAACCGCAAAAGGGCTCACACCAGCCCTGCCTCCTTCCGAGGCTCCCTACGCCTTTCAGGTGCTGTTAGCCAAGGCACCACCCGGGAAAACACCTCGTTTATCCCAGGGGAAGTTCGGTGCCGAAGAAGGATGCGGAAAGTTGGGAGGCGGCGCTGGGCGGGGGCAGTGGCGGTACCGGCCGCGCATCCCCCGCACACCGCGCGGCCGGGGCCGGCCCCGGGCTGGGAGCCGGACCCCCCGCGCCCCCCGGGCTGCCCGCGGGCAGATGCTGAGCGCGGAGAGCCCGGGAGTTAATTCTTTTTCGTTTCCCCCTTCCTCCTCAGCCGCCCAGCCCCCGCCGCCCCCCGAACGGCGGCTCCAGCCCCGCACCCATCGCCCCGAGGGACCGCGGCCCCTCTCGCCCCGCTCCCCGCCGCGCTCGCCCCCAGCCCCGCACTCACCGGCCCCCTCGACCTTCTCGGAGCCGCGGCTCCAGGTGACCTGCCGCGTCTCCAGCTTCACCTGGAAAGTTTTCCGCTCGGGTCGCTGCGACTTTTTGGAGTAGAAGAGGGTCATGACGGTGCCCACCTCCAGGCTGCGGCAGAGCTGCACCGCCTCCGCCTCGCTGGGCGCGCCGGGGCCGCCGCCCGGCCCGGCCGCCATCGGAGCGGCGAACAAAGGGGAGCGGGAGCGCCCGAGCCCCGCCGCGCCCCGCGCCGCTGCCGCCCGGAGGAGCGGGGAGAGCAGAGGGAGGAGGAGCGAGGAGGGAGGAGGAAGGAGGGAGGGAAGGGGCGGGGGTGCGGGCGGGGCGGTCCCCGCGCCGGGGGCGGGCGGGACGCGCAGCGCGGGGGGTCTGCGGGGGGCACGGAGCGGGGTGATACCGACTGCGGGGTTTCGGCTGACAGAGCACCCCCGCGGGGTGGCCCGCCTGGGCAGGGGGCAGTGTGGACCCCGCTTGCCGGTGCTACAGACCCCCCAGCATCCTGGGGTATCGGGGTGCCCTGCTCCCCATGGCACACTCAAGTACCGGGGTGCCCTGCTCCCCCGAGCACAACCATGTACCGGGGTGCCCTGCTACCCATGGCACACTCAAGTACCGGGGTGCCCTGCTACCCATGGCACGCCCAGGTACCGGGGTGCCCTGCTCCCCCGAGCACAACCATGTACCGGGGTGCCATGCACCCCATGGCACACTCAAGTACCGAGGTGCCCTGCACCCCCGAGCACGCCTGGGTGCCACCCTGCACCCCCCTGCAGGGCTCCCAGGTCCCCGGGGTGCCGCTCACCCCACGACACCGCGGGGCCCCAGCACCCAGCGCAGGGTTTGCGTGGCACGTGCGGGGTCCCGGCGCTGCATCCCGGTGGCTTTTCCTGCGGACAGAGCCCTCGCTGTGGCTGCCGCTGGCGCCGTGGGGCGGCTTCCCCGTGGAGCCCCGTCTGCGTTTGCAGTATCCTCCGCACAGATCCTGGCTGGATGTGTGTTGACATGGAAAGCGGGATGGGGCTTGCGGGGCAGCCTGTGGCATCCTGGCCCTGGGGGACGTGTAGGGGAGCCGTGGGTCTCTGGACAGTCTTCAGCCCCTCTCTGGCCCCGGCTGGAGACCACACAAAAGCAGGGTTAGTGAGGGGATAAGTGGTTGAATTGGGAAGCGTTTCAGAGCAGTTTGCTCCATTCACGTGGTTAAAGCCTGCAATTTCCCTTTCTGTGTGCCACTGGCCTTCCTCCCTGTCCCCTCCGCCCCACCAGGACACCCCAGGACACGCTGGGCACCCAGGTGTCCCAGGCTGGGGACAGAGTCCAGTGGCATCTCTGACCCTGAGAGGTAATGACTGCTAAGGGCAAGCAGAGCCCTGCTGCAGGTTTGGTTGGAGGGGTTGTACCCCACATAGAAACGCACAGGTATGTGATATATGTGTATGTGTACAATATAAACACATACATACACACACGTGTGTGTCTGCAGGGCCAGGGCAAGGCAGCCTGTGCTGAGCAGCCCTTATCTCACATCCCAGCTCATGGGTGGACCTGGAAGGGGCGTCATGTTCTAAGTGAGGGGCCCCCATCCCCATGTGCACCCCACAAATGAGCAGCTCCCTCTGTCCCTGCTGCTCCACTCGCCTCCAAAGGGACACGCTGGACACACACGTGCACACACACGTGCACACACATGTGCACACTCACGAGGAGCCCTACAAGGTTGTTTAGGATCCCACCTAGTGTCTGGGCAGCAAAAAGGTAAGACAGACCAGGGTAAGAACCTAAACCTGCCCTGATAGAAACAAGCAGTGTATGACAGCACTGTAAGGGCTGACAGGACGCTGGGGATGTGCTCAGCTGAGCCAGAGCCACTGGAGTCTGTGCTTGGTGTTGGCACAGGACTCTCAGCACATTCTCTCCGGGGTGAGCTGCCCTGGAAGTCGCTCCTGGCTTGTGGAATGGCCCCGCTCGGGACCGGCAGGAAGAAGCCGGCTCCCAGTGGTCTTAAAATAGCTGAGCATTATGGGCACACCCTTGTTTTTGAGGGCAAAACCTGAGAAGGGAGCGCGGCCGTCGAAGAAACAGAAGAGGTAACTCCCTCCCTCCCAAATCCTGCCTGTTGTGCTGAAGGAGAGCACCCAGCCCGGCATGTCCCCAGCTCTGGAGCACTGCCTGGCTGGGGCTGCTGCCTGCAGGATGTGGTTTGCAATGGGGTGTCTGCAATGGATATTTTTTCTTCTGCAGGTTTGACTAATCACCTTTTAGCCTTGCATTAGCTCTCCATGTCTGAGATGCTGCACACCAAGGAGTTTCATCATTTAATTTGACAGCACATGAAACCACCTTTGTGCGCCTGCTGCCTGCCAGCTCTGTTTAGTGGTCCCAGCTCCTGTATCTGCCAGGCCATGGGCAATCATGCTCCACCCCTCAGGGCAGCAAAAACTTCCATTACAGTCCTGTTTTTAATTCCCTGGATCATGTTCATCGTATGGCTGTGAAGGGCTGGGGGTTCTGCAATCTCCCCTTGCAAACACCTTTGGGGAAAAGGGGATTTCCCCCTCTGAGTGGCCCCAGCACCTTCCCCCATCACAGTTCCGAATCATGGGATGCCATCCCCCATATCCTGCAGGATTCATGGAGCAGCTGCATCCTCCCACCAGGAACAGGCTAACAGCCAGGTGACCTCTGGCTTAAGGACAGCCCCCGGCCATGCTCAAGGGCTGAGGACCAAAATCCAGGGCAAGAGCACTCCAAGGCCACCCCACAGACAAGTGTGGGGGTCCCTGCAGCCCAGTATCCCTCTGACACCAATGTCTGGGAATGGACACGTCTCTCTCCTGCCCTGGGGACCCTTCATTGAGAGAAGGTGCCCGATCCTCACCCGAGCAAGGGATGCTTGGCATCTTGCAACCCCTGGGAGAGGTGCCCCACTCCAGGTTATTTATTCATTCCTGCCTGCTCCGCATTGCCTGGGGTGGGTGAACGTGACATCAGCCCGTGTGCTGAGAAAACCACTATCAGGGAAGAGCTTCCCTGGTGCTGCAGGCAGCAGGATCTGGAAAACCAGCAGGGAAGGCGGTGCGGAGTCCCCTCCTGGCCGGGCTGGTGTTGGCAGACGCAGAGCAGTGTTTTGCCGGGGATGGAAAGCAGACCCGCCTGGGGCTGTGGAGCTGCTGCGGATGCTGGCGCGGAGCCCGCCCCGTGCACGCTCTCCGAGGAGCTGCTGGGCAAAGCTGTGCCCGCAGGCAGGGCTGCCTCCCCCCACACCTCCTGCCCCTCACAGGCCCTGCAAGATCCCTCTGGATTACAACTGGCACCTGATGGGAAACCCACTGCAGCTCCAGGTTCCCTGTCCCCGCTCCCTCACGTTGCACGGGGAGCACAGGCTTTTTTAATATCCCGAATTCACCTGGTTTCAATTTCCAACCCTGGAATCCTGTAAGACTTCAAGGGGGATGGGGCTGCATCCTGCAGGGTTTGCAGCCTCCCCTTGGCTGTCAGGGCCTGTCCATGGGCTCACAATGCACAAGATCCAGTTTCAACCTACATTTTGCCCCCTCCTCTGGCCACATCACCACTGCCTCAGCTTCCCTGGCTGCCAGACACAAGCCTTGTGGAGCAGGAAAGCAGAACTGGTGTGGTGACACTGGGGCAGGCGAGGACGGGCACTGCAGTGCTGGGATAAAAAACGGGATGTGGCATGTCCGTGGCCATTTCCCTGTTTGCACAGTGAGTCAATGGGGTCTGGGAATTGTCCATGGAAAGTGTGGGGTGTGTGGTCCTCACCCTGCTGTGCCACAGGCAAAAACCACAGATTAAACCCCCCTGGGGTCCCTGCCTGGGACAGAGCCAGCAGGGGATGAGTGCCTGTGCTCCCGGTGTCCGCAGGGAGCCGGGCACATTTCCAAGGGCCGCTTTTGCACCAACATACCTTTCCTTGCTGACAGGGAGAGGCACAGCACGCTCCAGCCTGGGACATCAGGCTGGCCTCACACCTCCAGGCCTGGCCAGGGCACTTTGCCATGCCCAGGGAGAAAGCGGATCTGTCAGCAGCGACACTGGGGTGGAAGATCCCTTCTGCGGGAGCACATCCCTGCCCGTTCCATTCAACATTTCCCTGCTCAGCGGTGCACGGTATGGGAATTTAATTCAGCCAGGTCTGACTGAGGCTGTATAAATAGAAAGGATATTTTTACAGGCTGCATTGTTCCAGGCACGGGCAGGTCGGGAGCACAATGAGCCCCTTTCCCTCTCCGCTGGCATTTTCTCGGCTGCACCTTGGAAAGGCCCCAGAGAGTAAACGGCGCTGCTGCCAAACGCGAGTTTGTGCAGCCACAACAAAGCGCCTCAAAGATCGCAGCGGGCAGCAGGAAGCCCGGCTCGGGGCTGGCTGCCCAGAGGCTCCTCAGCTGGCTCAGCCACACTCGGGGCTTTGGGAGCCCACCCCCAGCACTGGGGTCACAGGGAGGTCCTTGTGGAGGAGCCAGGGATCTGCTCCAGGATCCTAAAGGACACCACGCCTGGGCTGCTCTCAATGCCAAGGAGATGGAATCATCCCTCAGCCTCGCTGTCCATGTCCTTGCCCAGCCTCCTGCCCTTTCCAGCCACGTGCCTCACTGAGGATCTGGCTACAGGACCACACAACCGACCACGGAGCCCCCGTGACACCACACAGGCAGCAGTGAGAGCTACTTGAGAAACAAGGGCAGCTTTGGCAGCTGTGGAAAGCATCATCCCTTCCCAGAGCCACGGCCAGGTGATGCCTTTCAGATCCCTGGCATCATAAACCCACACTGTTCTCAACAAAACCCTGATGAAGACACAACTCCTGGGTCACTGCCAACCCACCTGGCCCTTGCCCTGGCCTCAGCATCCCCTGCTGCACAAGGTGCCCAGCCCGTCACCTCCTCCAGCACAGCAGCCACGGGGACCTCACAGCCCAGGGCCGGAGGTGAAAGAACACACAGACACCAACACTCAGTTAAGTTGTAGGAATTTATTTTAAATAACCTACAGTTGATTAAAAGGGAATTCATGATAAAAATAGAAGATACTTGTTGAGGAAAGGCTGCAGGAAATGGTCTTGCACACACACTAAGCTAACAATGCCTCTAAGACTAATGATTATAGCAAAAAAAGGTTTCACATTAAAATTCTGCCTTTTTAAATTTTTTAAAATTTTTTT